AAATATTCATAATAGAATTTAAATAAAGTTTAGACTTATTACTATAATCCCCACCATTCACTCACCTAAATATTGAGTCAAAGTAAGTGTCAAGACTAACAATTTATGTGAAGATGATAAATACTTATTTGCTAAGATATTGTTTCCATTGTCATAAGTGTCCTTCTTTTTCTATCCTTTTATTTATGCCCACTCTTACCATTTTCTAACCTAGTATTTAAAACGAAGAAAAAGGAAAGCCGTAATATTTGCTAAACAATGAAGTGCATTGAGATCCTTCGTTCTTTTTTTTTGAATACATACTTCGCTCTTTTATCAGACCCAAACCAGTAAAAAAGGAACAGTATCACACCCCCATGCGAATAAAAGGCATGCATATCTGAATTTAGAATGTTCAAAGCTACAAATTCCAATGCTGCATCGAAGCGCGTGCAGGAAGGATCCAATTACTGGGACCGAGGTGCTGCGCCAATGGTCCAACATATACACTGACAAAGCACTGGCTTGTCTTCTTTTGCGAGTAGCAAACTGAGACGCGCTTACGCGCGTGACACCTGCGAAATGGTCAGAGTCTAAGACAGACATTCTATTATATAGCTAGCATTGCAGTTTGTGTCCCTGTTTTGTGGCAGTAACACTGTTAACTGATAGATTGCTAAAATCTCTGTGCTTTGACTATGTTGCCAGTGACAAACATTCTTTGACAAAGTTAGGAAACCAATCATTCTTTGTTTTTGTACTTTATATATTCTTCGGAAATTATGTATCAAGAAATCTTGCATTTGCACATGGGATTTTGTACACACTTGAAGTTCATTTAGGCCGTCACTAGATTAAGGATGAGTTTCCTTGAACAAATATACAACTAGTTTGATTGTTTAATTTAAATAATTAATAAAAGAAAAAAGTGTTTGTCATTTTAAATGGCAGAAAGTTATGTCATTTTAAAAGAGATACAGGCACAGAAAATTTGAATTTTAAATTAAAAAAAATCACTAACTTTCTTTTTCCCATGATTTCCTTTTTTCTGTGTCTATCTCTCTCCTAAAATGACATAACTTATGTCATTTAAAATGACAAACACCAAACCCTTAATAAAATTAAGGACTAAATCTCATACTTAAGTGAAAAACTTAAATCTGTTAAAAGTTTAACTCTTCCTAGAAAATCCCACATTAATACGAAAAAGGAAGAGAAACTTAACGATTAAGAAATGACAATAAATTATTTAAAATATAGTAGAAATATGAAACTCTTTTAAAATAAATTTGTATTGAACAATAGTCAAATTATTGAGCACACAACAATTATTTTTTCTGCTGAGCAGAAACTCTTATGATCTGGAGCTTTTGAAAATGATAGTCGTTTAGCTATAAGAGCATGATAGTTCAAAGGGTTTAACCCTATCATATATAGACCGAATAAATGCCGAAAGTCCAATTGATCATAATAACAATGGGCTCATCATAAATTAATTAAAATGAAATATTTATTGACTTGATTAATTTAAAATTCAAAACTCTTAAATAATATTACCCGCGTATAAGAATATTTCTAACATATACTTATGTGAATGCCTGAAGGGGGGGAAAATGACATAATTTCACACATTATGTAGAGATTAAATAAGTACGTGAAAGATGTAATAAAATACAGCACCTCACTAGCTAGCATTATAAAACTATAGTACTTACTATATTGGATACGATAAATAGTTGGATATTATTGCATAACCAAACAATTTAGTGATGCGCGCTGTCGTAAGAAATTATTGCACTTAAAATTTTTTGTTTTACCATTCTGTACTTACATTTCACTACTATTAATATTACCCATATTTTGTATTTGTTGCTATGCATAAATTCTTTAACGTATAAATAACTTTGTTTATTATTCAAATTAGAAAAAAAATTAGAGTGGCATGTAATACCGGTGAAATTAGGAGTTCTCTTTATTGGGTTTAGCATCCAATTTCGAAAATTTTGACAACCAAAAGACTATCTCACTATCCAAGCCATCATGTACATGATGATGATGATGCTAATCTCGAAGATTACTATGATCTTTAGTTTTCTATTTCTATGGATTGGGGTGGCCATTTTGTCTTCTTTTGATGCTTTTTCTCCACCAAAATTTGGCAAAGTCTTCAGAGTTCCTTGTAGTCTTACATAACAAAAAGTACATTGACATATTATTACTATATCATTCTTTCTTTCTCTCTCTCACACACACACAGAGACACTCACACACCAGTGTGTCATTGGTAAGACCAGTTACTCCTTTTTCAATTTTTGAGATATTTTAATCGGTTCATCACTTCGACATTAGTCTGATTCGGGGGGTGTCTCGGTATAAAGACTTTAAACCTGTATTAGGAGGATTGAACACATGCTCTCACCCTCACCTGCTCAGTTTTCTAACGCTAACTGAGCTATCATTATTTGGTAACCAATTACTCCTTTTAAAGAACAGACTTTGCTCCAATGCAAAAAACCAGGATCAATATTTACAATGATATTAACAACTAATTTACATTTTCTATGGGGAGTTAAAAGTCACTAAAGTCAAGGTGGATATGTTTTCTAAGCTTATAATATTTAAAATTTCGCAAATGATGGTAGTTCAGTTGGTAACAAGGGAGTCAAGTACGTGAAAAGGAAAAGGTCTCTATTCGATCCCCACATGCCACCTTTGGGAGAGGTTTAAATATCTTCATCCTGACCCACCCGCATTTCGGATTAGTCTCATAGTTGACTCAAAGAGTTGAAGTTTGTTGGGATATCGACGGAAGCCAACTCGCCTTAAAGAGGTAATTATGGTTGGGTTAACTCCAAAAAAAAAATATTTACAATTTTAAACATAAAATTGGAAGTGAAATTTGTATCTTCATTGGCATTATATATTTAATCAATGTGAATAATATAACAACTAGAATTTATTGAGGTACGACAATTTTCTCAGTGAAGCTATCTCTAGCGAGGTTTGGCTGCGCAAGATGCAACTTAACAATATATTTTTTTTGACAAAAAACAACATCCTGCTCGTAGAGCTATAGGAATTGTCCTCTAATTTGTTCGTTAATAGAATTGAAAAAGGTCGTAGTTTTTTTATCACATTCGTAACAATATAGCAATCACAACCTTTTTAAGTGGTAGCTAGACTTTGTCCTCTGCTGGGGTCGCTCTATACAGTTCTATCACTTATAGTTCAAGAAATTGGCTGTGGCTAATTGCCTCTTAATAAGTAATCGTTAAACCAAGCAACATCTAATTTAAACTGGATTTTTGGTTATTGAAAGAAGACCATATTATAGGTTTACCATCTAAAATTACTATTTTAATCCCTCGCTCTCACTCCAAATGAAGTAAAATGATGCAATCACTTATATGTGTTCCATTTCAAGAATACATTTGCATTAGTCAACGTAGTTTACATTCGGTTGCTGTAAGAAAATATGTTAAATAGTTGAGTACAAGCTTCACTGATTAACATCCAAAGATTTTTGTTGTGGAAAGGTAATTAAGGTTATATATATATATATATATATATATATATATATATATATATATATATATATATATATATAGGACATGTTATATTTACAAACTTTTTTGTTTATAAACTCTTACAAACTACACTATGTTCTCCCGGGAGAACACTTGTTATACTATGTTCTCCCGAGAGAACATAGTGTAATTTGTAAAAAATTTCAAAAAAAGTTTGTAAACGGAACCGTCCCATAGTATCCATGGTAACTTATATATATATATATATATATATATATATATATATATATATATATATATATATATATAGGGATAGTATCCAGGTAACTTATATATATATATATCGGGATAGTATCGATGGTAACTTCTAAACAATGTCCGTAGTTGCCAAAGGAAAACAAAAAAAACTCAGTCTAAGACTAGGTATTGTATAATGAGAAATTAAGGTGGTTTTGCAAATTAATAATTTTGATTAAAATAACTGTTAACTTGTAAGGCAGATTTTTTTAGAGCCGAATATAAAAGATGGCATAATGGTATTAACGTCGAGTAAAAGACTCTCCGGTCAGTGGCGGAGTCAGGGAGAAGATCCAGCTAGTGCCAAAAGATTCAATTAGTAAAATCTAGCTAGTATTAATGTTGTATTATTTTTAAAAACCTAACCAATATTAAGGCTATATCATAATTTTTTTTAAAAAATATGTAGCATTTTTTAAAATTAGCCAGTGCCAAGGCACCACCTAAAAGCCAAGTGGCTCCGCCACTGTCTACAGTTGTTAGATTATCTTTATACAAGGAAAAAAAACACAGAAAATTTAATTTTTTTTTTTTTGGATATTATCTATTGGTTAATCAAATACTCAATTAGTCTATTTCGAACCGAGTAGAATCACATGAGTGGCAAAGCTCTCCGTATCAAATTTTTTTTTCCATATCAAATTTTAAAGCAGCTAAGTTCTTATGAACTCAAGCTCGAGATCACTGATTAAACTTAAACAATTCCATATTAGTTGATCCACGTGCTTAGTGATAAAAAAAAATCTAATTTTTAACGGCAGAAAATCACATTTTTCCAGTAGTTATACTTAAGAATTTATACCATAAGAAAGACGTTTACTAAGCTCTCTTTAACACCAACTTGCTTTACTCTTTGTCCAAGCGGGAATTCCTGAAACTCTTAAAAAACAGTTAATCAAAGCTGAATTTGACTGAAAACTGAACTCTTTATAGCAAGTGATTTATGCAGATATCACATCCCACGACAAAACTTGATAAAAAAAGGTGCATTGAAATCAGTTGTTCAGAATCTATTATCTTGGGAGATTGTGATTATCAGTGCAGCACATATCGTCCAAATTATTGTGTGAAACCTTCCACCAAATAAAGTGCAAACAACCTTTACCATAAGTAAAGAGTTTCTATTACAAATGTATGGTAACCATTGAAGAGACATATAGATAATATTCATTCTATTGAACTCATAATGTTCCTATTTTCAACATTCTCATACAAAGCAACCTAAACCTATTAAAAGGAAAATAAAGAAAAAACATTGAAGAACTTATAACGATTAAAAGAAAAAGAGCTAACATATCCTAGGGTTTTCATTTGATTTTTTTTAAAAAAAAAAAAACAAAGCACTCATCCATCCTCAACGCTCTTTATATTGGGCTAATTAAGGAGTTGGATTAAAGTTTATCAGATAGGTTAATGTAATAGAAGCCACACTAACCAAAACCTGAAACTTCTTCACATGATCTGAAATTTCTATGGCTGGTTACTAGTAGTGGAAGATGAACTAAAACCCGAAATATCTGTCCATAATTGAGGATTACCAGTAGTCCAATATTGTTCACTTGCTTGATTATTGCTTCCCAAGAACTGGTTTGACAAATTATGTTGCTTACTATCTTCCATTTTCACTGAAGCAAGCTGAGATATAACCGCAGAAGTTGAAACCTTTGGCCTGAGATGACTCAACCCACCAACACCATATCCATTAGCACTATCTTCAAAAGGGTACAAACCAGCTTGTGAACTTTCCAAACCAGCCAAGAAGGGAAATTGTTGTGTTTGCGCCATCCTCCATTGCTCAAAACCATTTGGTCCACCTAAAGCATTTCCTATATGGAAACTTAAGTCCCCTACTCCTCCCATTGAACCTGAAATAGTGCTGTAATTTGGGCCATAGTTTAAGCCCATATCTCCAACTCCAAAATCAGTGAATTGATGCATTGGAGTCATAAACCTCGGTGGTGGCATCTGGGGTGCAAAGCCTATTATATCAGCTGCAGTAGCAGAAGAGATTGAGTTGGTAGAACAAGCACTTCCAGTTTGACGATCCGAACTCGCCGGGGACTTGGAGCTGCTGCTTCCTTTACTTCTCTTGTTCCTCCGGCAGCCGCCGCCCACGGGGACGCTCCTTAGGGCACCGCCTCTAGTCCAGTACCTTCTACAGGTCTTGCAGAAGTGGCGTGGCTGAGAGAGACTGTAGTTGTTGAAATAGCAAAATTTGGTGTTGGATGATTCACATCGTGGACACTTCAGTGCAGCCTCCGGCATAGGTATGTTGGCCATCCTTGCCCTATCAGCCATTGACCCCGGCCTGATCGAGCTGGAGCCGCCGGCTGCATGAGGCTGAGCTGGTGGCGGCGGCGGAAGCACCTGCTGAGAGGTTGAACCACCGTTTCCCGGTTGATGATTTTGTTGCTACAATAAATTTAGAAAGGAAACAAATGAGAAGTGAAAAAGAAAAGAAATCAAATATCTGGTATATTCAAGAAGATCTACAAGCAAAAGTAACAAGAATATTTTTATCTTTTGATTTATTTAATCATTTATTCATTTTTGCCTTTTGCATAAAGAAACAATAGGAAGAACAAAAAAAATTGAAGAAACCCTTATTAATTACCTGTTGCTGCCAGTTGGCTGCATCCAGATAAGTTGCTGGTATGGATGTAAAAACCATGGTTCCGTCTTGGAGCTTTCTCTTTTGTAAAGGTTTTGGTAGATAATAGTGGAGAGAATCACATCAACAAGCTATAAAGAGAGAGTGTGTGTGTATTGCGGGAGAGCTGTGGATAGAGGAGAGAAAGCAAGAAAGAAAGAAGAGGGCGAAGGTTGGGAAGTGGAAATGAGAGCAAAAATAAAGGAAGGGCCTTTTAAGTATATATAAGGACTTTTGACCGAAACAATGAAAAAAAAAACATATTGTCATTTAATTCTTTTCGACAAACTATTTACTTATATATTGCGATTGAAATGCGCACGGAGAATGTGCGAGTTTAAGTCGCGCATCACCGCTGTATACGACTTATGCAAAAAAAATTACACATACAATACTCGTATCCTGGCAATGTGTGTTCAAGTCACACACACTTTCCATGCGCGTCTTGTAGAATGGGACACGTGACATGTACATTTTGACTTTTGTACAAGTCGCGCATGAAAGTGATGAGCAACTTGAATGCACATACTATACATATCACTAGCATAATGGAGAAAATATTTTTTCAGCTACATTTATATAAAAGTGAATGAATCTCATTATGAAGTAAAAAGAGAAAAAATAATTAATAGAATCCCTTCATTTTTACGAGTGTCTAATAAAAATAAAAATATTAAATCTATATATAATTTAAGTATCTTGTTTATTCACTCTATAACACAATTTTTATTTTATTTTTTTGCTTTCTAGGTTTTTGAGAAGGTGATGTTCCTTAACTCATAAGCTTCTTTTTTATGCTCTGAAAGACTGTAGGTACAGCGCTAGGAGCCTGGGACAGACACATCAGTGCTGCTGAGCAGATTAAATATGTTGGCAACTAATTTCCTGTGGATATTGGCCATCTCAAACTTTAATTATGAAGTGATTATATTCTAAAATTATTTATTTAATGAATGATGGATTAAGGTAAAGAATGTGATGGATGTGTATGTATTAATGTTTTATATTGAATAAAAAAGTTGTCTATCGATGCTTTAGTTATGGACAATGGTAGAACTATACCGACCGAATGAAACTTTTCTTGGTCCGGTCTGTTCCCTTCCCCACTATTCTTTCTTTTTGCAACGGAATATCTATGGCTGCCACTCTCACGCGCTATTACATGATTCTAGCGGCCGAGTCAAATTCATATATGCTAGCAACTATATATATATATATATATATATATATATATATATATATATATATATATACATGAGACAGGATCCTTTGACACCGGTGTCAAAAAAAGAGTTTGACACCTCATCTGAGAGCTGTTAGATTACAAAAAATCAACGATTCTGATTTGTAAGCATGTGACACCATTGATTTTTTTTAATCTAACGGCTCTCAGATGAGGTGTCAAACTTTTCCTTTGACACCGGTGTCAAAGGATCCTGCCTCTATATATATATATATAAAATGTTTGTCATTTTAAATGACACAAAGTTATGTCATTTTTAATGAAACTACGTCGTTTTGGTGTATTTTTACATTCTCTCTCCTCCATTTTCTTTTTATTTCTAATTTTATAAAAAGGGTTGAAACTTGTGACGTAAAGAGACCATTTGATGTTTAAATGGCTTTGGAACTGGGGACTATTGTAATTGATGCATGGATTAATGATTATGCATGATGGAAGGGCCTAGAGTCTACATTAATTCTTGTGTAAGTTGTGTAATTAGTATTGGAGAGTTAGGAGTAGATTACATGTTCCTTTTTATAAAGAAAATGTTGTCATCTGTCATTTTTGCAGTAGGGTAATCGATTACCTTAAGTGTATGTTAATTGATTACTTGAAACAGGGGACGCAAAAATTGAGTCACTGTGATCTTAGTAATCGATTACTTTTGCATAGGTAATCGATTACCTAGTTCAGTAATCGATTACCTGTGTCAAGGTAATCGATTACCCAAAACAGGGGAGCCCAAATTGAGCTACTGCCTCATTCTGGAACTTTTGGTAATCGATTACCTCAAGAATAGTAATCGATTACCACTGTGTAAATTTTGAAAATAAGTGATTTTATAACCTAGAGTTAATGGTATTGCTTGGTAGAGTTATAATAAGTAAGTTTTATGCTTCCGCAAGTTTTGCATTTACAATTACGGTGTTGTCTTAATTAGTTACGGAAAGGGTTAATGTTTAACAATAAGGATTTAATAAAAGAAAAAATTTACCCGTAATTTAATTAACTCAATTATTGTGATTGTAACTGCGCTTAATACCATATGTAATGATAACAGTACCGGTACGTAACGGGCTGTTACATTGCCAAAAGGGGGAGAAATATGTTGAGATTGAGAAATGGTCTCTTTGTTTTTAAAATTGATTAAAAATGGAGAAATATGATTTCCTAAAAATGTATATGATGAATCACGTATTAAGGGGGAGAACACATTTTTAGGGGGAGCATATTGTTAATGGGAGTTTAATTCTGATTTCATGTGCAACTAACCTCATTTCTCAATGAAGTATTTGTCATCATCAAAAAAGGGGAGATTGTTGAATCATAGGTCACTAAGACCAAGATGTATAGTTTTGATGATTAACAAAGCATCAACTAGCTCAACAAGCTTTCACAACAAGAAAGACAGTGCAACAAATCCTAAGTGAAGCTAGAAGGCCAACACAACATGCAAAAGCGAAGAAATAAATTCAAAGTGAAAAGTCAACTCTAAAGTCAAAGATTCAAGTTTTGAAAGGAGCTAGAAGACTTAAAACATGAAGACCAAAGAAAATTTCTAAAGACTCAAGCTTATACAGTTTATAAAGTCATTTTAGAGTCTATAAAGTTTAGAGAGTTGAGTTTATTGAGTATATCTCATGGATGCATTATAAAAGCCTTAAACTCATGCATTAAATGAACCCTACATACATGATCTATACATACATGACTCACACACATGGAACATTATAAGATCAATGCTAAAAGCATTAGTACATGTGTGAGAAGTGAGTAAAAATCAATTGGATCAAAATCTGGATTGTTGTGTTCAAATATTCGGATATGGATATTTGAATATCTGGATATGGGATATCTGGATGTTGAAACCCAGAATATTCGAATATGTGCCCAATAAATATTCGGATATTGCATTAGTCACGTGAGTTATTTTAAAATAAGTGGTGTAACAGCTATAAATGTCTATCTAATCTTTTCTACACTTATATAAACGACCAATGTGGGTTCACAAATAAGGATTAATACAAAAATGCATCAGAACTCAGAATTTGAGAGAATTAACACCAATTTGGCTATGTAGTGACATCATAAGGGAAAAGCTCAATATCTCTTTCATCTTTCGATCTTTTTCAGATCTTTCTTTTTATGTTGAACAAGGAGAGATTTCTCTTTTACTGTTTGAACGATTTGGATTAATGTAATTCGTTCTTGATTGATTATAGAGACCCTATAGGTAATAGGTTGAGAGTGATCAAATGTTAGATCATAATTCTTGTAAAAACTCTTTGTAGAATGGTTTTTCTGGCACCGGTTAGAAGCTAAAACATAGTGGAGTGGTTAGAGAGTAAACCAGGATAAATCGTGGTGTGATTCTTCCTTTCCCTTCATCTCTTTCAATACCGTTGGATAATCTTTGTTATTGGACATCATTTGGTATATTTTAATTATGTTTTTACATAAGGGAAGGTTTGATTTCTATTTAATTTCATTTTGGGTTGATTTCTTGGAAAATAAGTTATTGCACAATTCAACCCCCTTGTGCTTGTGCATTAGCCATCTATTCTTTACACTTTTCTCTTCTTTTTCTTTTTTCTATATATGTATTTTTTTCAACATTTTTTTTATAATAATAATTCAACAATTAACTATTTATGCAAACACAATGACCAAACCCAATGCAATGCCTCACCTCACACATAAAATGTTGCACGTCCCGGGCAACCCCTACACTTAAACACAATACTAAGGTGAAACTATTGCCCAATAAATTTCCAGAGTGCGGGATCAAATGTATTTACATTTGGGCTTGTAATGTGGTCAAGACAAAAATAATATAAAAAGGCACAAAAGGGCTAACCAATGGAAATATAATGCAAGGGATGACTATCTGGCCAAAGTGGAAAAATACAACGAAGAAGGCCTATATCATGTTTATGCATGCAAGTGAAAAATAAAGCTTCAAAAAGAAAAGGAGCAAGTTCTAGAGAGCAAAAATCCGGAACAGAAGCACACAAGAAAGAAACAATGGAAGATAAATTTTATTCATACAGGCCCAAAAATCTCACAAGGGTTAATGCCAAATCACGCAATTAGCATAATAAATTCAACTAACAAGTCAAATAATCCAAGAACAAAGATTTTTCCTGTAACACCCCAATTTGAAAATTGGATTGTTGACTAACATATGGTAATAAGAACGCATAGAACTTGATTATAGTAGCGGAAGACTTAATGAAAATTTCACAATTAAGCAATGTAATTTCATGAGATGACTTTTTTATTATTTCCTACACATTGCTATATCTATATTATATGACTTGTTTCGATAAACTATACAATCTCATACTTGTACAAAATCATAGAAACTTGAATAAAGTTAGGTTTTCTTACCATAAAACTCAAGAGAGTGATGAGAAAAACACTTTACAACCTTCAAAGAGTTGTATCTCTCGTACAACACCAAAAACCAAAAACCTCAAAACTTTGAAATAGAATTTCTTCCTCTACAAATCCTCTCAATAGAAACCAATTAGTTAGTTTTTCTCCTAGTGAAAATCTAAGCAACTTTCATCAAAGAAGCTAAGCATTTCCTTCACTTTAGCTCAATTAAATTTTCAAGCTCTCTAACAATGGCCAAAATCGGTTTTGGAGAAGACAATGCCGATGGAGATGGAAATTTGTAACTTAAAGGTGGTGTTTAATTCACTTAAGTCTTGGTTGACAAAAGTCAACATTTTCAACATGGTTGATTACTTAATTAACCTTCCTTTCATACTTCTTTTTCTAGCCAAAGACTTAACCTCTTTATCATGTGTTCTAACTCATCCACATCATAAATTAGTCTTTCACTAATTAATT